TACATTGTTTCTGCCTAAACATGCACAGCATTATTCCTTCTACAGCTATCACCTGTGAAAACTATATGACTGCTAGAGTACAAAAGAAACGTCTTCATGCTTCAGAGCTGGTGGGCTTTACAGAAGCATCTAGCTGGGCTCTTTGGGAATGAGGAAGCTGTAATCTGGTTTCATATAGCAAGGGTCTTCTTATATTCTTAGAGCTATAAATACTATTGCAAATATATCTGCCAAAAAGGCTGCCTCAGCCTAGACTAACACAGAACATGACATCTGCAAAGTGCGGCATACATCCTTTCGAAGGTTAGCTTTAAGGTGGAAGAAACAAAATAGTGATCCTGAAGGCAGTTCTTCCATTTGAGGTCTTTTCTCAAAAGCCTTTTCTCTGAGCCTTTGACTCAGCCTTGGAAAGGCCACATCCATCCAGGTTCCGAAAACAGGAACCAGCTCTGCTCCTACCTTATTATATCAGGTGTTGTTGTGACATGCCATCAAGTGGTCAGGTCATCAACTTACGTTGACCCACTAAATAAATGCTCTCCAGAATGTCCCATCCTTGACAACCCCACTCAGCTCTTCCAAGTAACAGTATGTAGTTGTATATTTAATCACATCATCCAACTGCTTACCTGTTCAATACTGTTTCTCTCGATCTCATTAGGTTATACAACAATGGCAATTCAAAGAGGATTTAATGTGTGTGTGTGTATTTAATTCTTGTCATTTTGCTAGAAAGTGTTGCAAGAAACTCAAGAGAATAGCAAGAAAAGTGCTGATTGCTGATGATTATTTGTGTGTGTGTAGATTGAAGAAAAGTTTGTTCTGTCATAGATGGGAGAATGCATACAATTTTCTAAAGGTTTCTTAATTTACCTTTCAAAAGAAGGTTCATAAAACTGTACATGGACAACAGTCTTGCTTACTTTGCCACCTTTATAAAAACACACATAGAAAGAATTGGATGAACAGGCCATTCCACTTTTGCACAGGGTGTTAATGCTCCAGCAGTTAATTTTTTGAAAGTAAATATCACACAATAGAAATTCCCACAAATAATACATATTTCAGAAGAAGAGCTCACATTCTACAGCATAAAGGCAAGATGCACCCATAAAGATATAAATGTGCATTTATTGTGCCAAAAAAACCAAACCAACATCCCCAATCATGATGAAGAGAATGCAGCCCTGAGGCTTGTGTGAGGAAAGTAGCTTTTACTGTCCTTGCTCCACACTTTCTTTTTCAATATGAAGCCTTAACAAGTGGAGCAAGGAAGGAGGTCTTGAAAGGGGCTCTTCAGCTGGACTTTCTCACAGAATGCCTCTGGAGTGCATGTCCATGATAAATGGCTGCTCTCTCCTTCCAAGACGCCTTGTGGTTTGCACAGCTGTGTGGGGTAGGCAGCAGGCAGGCTTTTTCCAGGCAGCATCCCCAGCCAACTCAACAGCTGCCTCTGGCTTTTTTGCCCCGAAGGCACGGTAAAATCAAACGTTACGAATGTCTGCAACGTGACAGAAACGGAGCCAGGAGGCCATGAGATCCCACGTCCCCCTTATGGACCACGTAGAGATAATGTGAAACAGAAAAGGCATTTCAGCGGCGAGTGTAAGTGCCCGAAGAGGAGTCCGCAAATCATTTCCGCACCAGTAATATTTGCAGGCGCAGTATTTTCAAGCATTTCCTTTCTCTTCTTTCTTTTTATTTCGATTCAAGTTTTACGAAATCATCTCTCCCTCCCTCTGCTGCAGATCTTAGGAAAAAGGCATGCACGTTTGCCTCTTTCCTCAGCCCCATTCCTTCCTGCCCGGGGCTTGCCTGCAGACCCAGCGAGGAGCATCAAAAGACTAAGGCGACCATCATGACCCTGCCAAGGGCCCAGCAAGCCTGGGGGACCGCGTCCCGTTCCCCGCAGGACTTCCGTCGCCGCGGCGCTACGCGGGAGGCTGTCGCAGCCAGCGGCCTCCTTTACGGCACCCACGTGTGTTTTGGCCCGCGGGGGCGCGCCGCCAAGCTGCTCCTGGAAGCGGAGTGCGGTACGTGTGGCTGAGCGTGGCGGCGAGGTGGCTTCGGTCAGGGGCCTGGGATGTGTGTGTGCCTGTGTGCCCTGCCGAAAGGGCCAGAATACGCGGGGTGGGACTGCTGCTGGAGGTGGCTTGCGAGTGCAGAGGTGCATGCAGGGCGCTTCTCCTGCGTTTCAGAAGGGGGGCGATTCGCTACCGTAAATTGCGTGTCAAGTCAATACAGGAAGGAACAAAAAGGGTGAAGCACAGATGCAAATTAATTAAATTCGAGGAGCGTTGCAGAGTGCTCCCGGTCAGGCATAATAAGGAAATGCGTTGCAAATTTAACTGCTAATACCGCACTGTCCATGCATGAGTTTTAGAATACCGTGTGCTGTTCTGGTCACCGCAGCTAAAGCGATATGTTAGAGCTGGGAAAAGAGTGGTAAAGGCACAGTCCTGCGGTCTCCAGACATTGTATAGATAAATGACCAGAGGAAAAGTCAGAGTTCAAGCTTGAGCCTCAGAAAAGAACTTGAAGTGGGAGCTAGTGGTCCAAACTTGGAGCAACCGCCCTTCAGAAGACCAACTTCAGTGTTCAGTATTATTTATGCGGTTCATAACAATTACTCAATATTGTGTGGCAAAACTGGATGGGGGGGTCGCTTAATGCAAGAACCTAAGTTCATCCTGGCAGATGAAAGAAAGTAGTTCTTTACACAGCACAGGGTTCATCTATGGAATTCTTTTCTACAAGATGAGCAACACCAGTTTGGAGAGGTTTAGAAAGGGATGGAATAAATTCATGGAGGATGAAGCTATCAAAGGTTACTAGTCCCGATGGCTATGTGCTGCCTTTGTTTCCAGAACTGTATGCCTGTGTCTATCAGCTGCTGGGGAAAGGTGGGCTGGAAGGTGCTGTCCTCCCTGAGGATTTAGCATGGGAAGTTGGTTTGCCTCTGTGGTACAAAATGCTGCTCCCATACCCTTCATTCAATCCAAAACAAGTATTCATCTGCACTTCACATAGATTGACTGGTTACCTAATTGCCAGACCTGCTATTCTGTCCAAGTATTATTTAAGGTGGCATTTACTTTATGCTGTATGGCAAAAGCATGACATTTGGACTGGTTCTTCAGGTGAACACACCAGGCCTGTAGGGATATATTGATACTTTATGAACTTTCATTTCAACTGTTTGTACAAAAGGAAGGATGGCATCCATGGATAATAGAGGCAGTCCTTGCGTGCAAAGGCAGAAGAGTGGTGACCTATATCAAATGAGAACTACTCTCCTTTGACCTCAGATTTCTTATACAACCCGTGGTCTGTCTTACCATTTTATTCCCCCCCCCCTGCTTTTTGCAGCACAGAAATATCCTCTTGGTATATTGCTGTATTCTTGAACAGCCCACTCTTAGTGCAGCTTGAAGAATCAGAAATGCTTAGGAGACAAAAATATCCTTTCCTTTTTCTGAGGTTAGTCATTGAAACCTGAATTACTACTGATTGCAGGTAAATTGGATCTGTCAGGGGTGGTGGAAAATTACATATGGGGCTAATAAAGTATGCACTAATATCGGGTTGAGGAAAATTAGCTTTCCCTTATTTACTTGTTTACACTTGCAAACAGAACTTCACCTGGGCATAGCATATCTAAAATGCATAAGTTTAATAGGTGGTAATATATTAATTTTAATAGGTTGGTTAGCAAATTTTACATACTGAGAATTTTGGTGGAGGTTATTCCCCAAAGGAACGCCTTTTTCCCTACATGCCCTCCCACCCCCTAAAATCAGCAGCAGAGGCCCTCCTCCGGGAACCTTTCAAAGGCCCCCCTTTGAAAGAGGTCAGCAGTCAGAGTACTCGAAGAAGGGCTTCTCTGTGGTGGTGCCCCAACTATGCAATGTGCTCCCTAGAGAGGTCCACCTGGTGCCGTCATTATATGTTTTTCGGCGCCAGGTCAAGACCTTTTTATTTGGCCAATATTTTAACATACAGTAATTTAATTCATTTTAAATGATGCTCAGTGTGGAATAGTTAATTTATCTTATTTTATTGTAGCTTGGAATAATGTTGTAAGCTGTCCAGAGACATCAGTAATGGACAGCATACAAACTTTTAATTAAATAAATAAATAGTGCATAGAGTTTTAGTCTAAGTGGTTTGAGTGCTGGAACAAAAATCTACCGCTCTGCCCCCTCCATTGTTATCATTTGATAAGACAGTAACAAACAAAAGCACTGAGCTGTGATGAATTCTAAGCTGGATGTGGGGGGAACCACATAGTTCATGTTAGTGCTTGCTGAATAGATAGAGGTAGTGCATTCTGTAATTATTACGTTGTTTAAATGTAGTCCTTTCTTCAAAGGCACTGCATGTGTTAAGATTTTATATCATGACCCTTTTTTTCCTTCGTAACAATAACATGAGATAGAATAAGATGAGAGATAATGACCAGCTATATTGCTGGCTGGGGTTTATGAACCTGGATGTCTCAGTCTTTCCCTGACCTGCTGAACCATTACATCACACTGGCTCCGCTTAGGCCTTTTTTCTGAAGCTGTAAGTAGCACTCGTGTGCCTAAAATAATCAAAGAGAGTGTCTCCCTGCATGCCGGTCAGCCCCATCTTGCCACAGCTGTGGAACCTAGGCTCCTGAGCCGTAGCATGCATACTGGGGACCCCAACGGTTATTTTGTTTTTTAAATGCATTAGTCAGTTTTAATTAATGTAAATATGCCTCTTAGAAGCCTGCAATACCACTGTGTGGCAGACTTCCCTAACCAGTGGATAGCTTTGTAGCTTATCCAGGAAGGAGTGTTCCAAAGGACAGAGCCACACCATTGTGGAGAACCTTCCTCTGCCAGGAAAGAATATGGGACTTGCTCCATCTTGTTTTATTGTAAGGCTTTCGCAAGACGGTATACAAAAATTCTAAATAAATAAATAAATTTAATTGAGGGGGGTCAGTGGGGGGAACTATGCATGCGTGTGCATTACATGTATGCATCCACGTATTTTTGTATGTAGGTGAATGAGTATTATTGTACATGTGTGGATGTGCATGTATGGATATGTATGAATGCACACATTTGCAAGGAGGGTGTATGAGGGACAGGAGCAGGCTGCCTACCATTTGTTTTAGTCCTCCCTACTGCTGGTATGTCTTCCCTGGAAGGTTAGTTACAAGGGAATGTGTCTCTCAAGCTGAAAAAAGGGTTTCCCATCAAGCCAAAGGCTTTGTGGAATATGTGGGTGTGTGAGGACAGAGTCGAAGGAAATGAGCTGTGGCTTCTCACGTGTGTTCTGGGAGGATGTTTCAGGCAGAGGAAGGAACGGGAGCATCGTCATGGCACTGCTCAGCCAACAAGGCAGCAGAGAAGTAGACAAGAAATTATAACTTTAAAGTAGGCCACTTCTTTTGATTCTGCCTTTTAATGGGTTAAGGTGGTAGACGAACAAACTTCTCATGAATTCATTTTAGACTTGCTTTTTTGCCTTAACAGACCTGATTATGATGATGATAATAATAATAATAATAATAATAATAATAATAATGAATGGAGATTTTCGCTTTTGGAGAAATAGGACCGTAAGAGGAGTCCTGCTGGGTCAGGCCAGCATTCTGTCCAGAGAGTGGCCAGCCAGCTGCCGGGAGAGTAGCGGCGGTGGCAGCATCCTCCTCATCTTTCCTAGGATTTGGAATGCCCACACACTCTGCCTCTGATTGCAGATGAAGGCATGTAGCCATCAGGACCAGAAACCAGCCTAAATAATTCAGTGTCATCAACAGACTTGGCCATCTCACTTCTTTCTGCTAATTGCAGATGGTTTATTAACGAGCTGAAAAGCACAGAACCCCCACACAGATCCTCGTAGGATGCTACCGCTTACCTCCCTCCATTGGGAGAGTTTACCATTTTACTCTGTTTTCAGTTCTCTGGACAGGAACTGATCTTTGTGGTCATTATTATTTAAATAAAGATTTGGTCCCCTTTATCTCTCTGATGTAGTAATCCTATTGGACTGAGTTTATTCTGAAGTGCCTTTTGTTCCTTATTAAAATTAATAATTCCTTATTAACTTATTAAGAGACAGCAATACGCAGCTGTGGCATGCAAGTCCCCAGAAGCCAGTGGGTAGACCCCTCAGTGGGCTGTACGGGTGCAACAGGGATCACACCTAAGGGGCGAATGGCCATGGCCTCATCAGAGAGGTGCAGTGACCAGAACGGTGTGCTGTATTTTCCGTGTGGCACACTGTTAAGATGTACAAGGGCAGTATTGCAATGTCAGTTCTATTTTCAGTACCTTTTCTAATCATGTCCATCATGAAATTTGCTTTTTTCCCAGCAGCTGCACATGGGTTTGGCTTTTTCGTTGAGCTATATACAGTACTAGGGAGAAGAATGGCTGTTCTGACTTTCTGGAATACCTTGGAGAAGTCCTGCAATGAAATGGAACCTGAGATTTCCAGATAAGAAGGCACACTGAGAAAAGCGCCCTTTTTTAGAAAGCTCAGGAGCCAGTAGTGGGGCTTCAAAAATGCATTAGGCTGTCAAAATACATGCCGGCTGTGTTTACACACTTCATGTTGCATGACTGGAAGAAAGGGTGAGCAATCAAAGAGCAGAAACAAACGGTGATGTTAGAAGAGGAGGAGGAGAGTCAAAGGGGAGCAGTTTAAGAAGAAGCATGAGAGAAAAGCTCAGGGAGAGGAAAGTGAATACATTACAGTGCGTAGTGAGGCGCTCAAATGAATGTTCAGAGGACTGTTTACTTGAAGACAAGCTCGCTGAGTTCAAAGGGGCTTATTTCCAAGCATGTGTGTGAAGGATTGCAGCTGGGTCATCCCATCCCATGTATGTTTGCTCAGAAGCCAGTCCCATTAAGTTCAATGGAATTGTTTTCTCAGACAATAGTAAAATTGATTCCTTTTTTGCCTCTTTACCACTCAAGGCATAATGCAAGGCACCCAAATGTTCAGCTGGCAAAATGCTCCTTCTGCTTCCCTTGCTCTTGTCAGGCCAACCCAAACAACAGCATCTGCTGTTTCAAGAACTGATTTCAGGAATCAGAGACACAATGCAGGAGTGCCCACCCAGATCTAGACTGTGTTATAAAGGAGTTGGTTTTAATCCTTTGCTTCCAATGTGGTCCTGATCATACTTATGACCCCCTGTGCCTGCTATTTACATGGGAAACAGCAGGTGTGAGGAGCCCAGCTCCACTCCAGATCCCATCCATCCTCGCATTGGTGTTTGTTAAAAATAAGCAAACACAGCCCTTCATGGGCAGGCCTTGTGACCAACGTAGTGATGTACTTTTCACAACATGCCAGCCCACTGTGGTCTTACATCACCCTGGGTGCCTACTGGCTCCATTTTTGCATTATACCTGCAGAGGCCTAGTTAGCCATGGCTCATCATGGGTTATTTGAAGGTTAGACAACCCTCATGTAACCCACAACTTGTTTAAGAGTTATTCGTGAGCTGTTTAGCCCTCAAACAACCTGTGCCACTTTGGTAGATTAACTCTGTGGTGAGTCAGTATGTCATGCAAAGCAGGTCCTTTGTTCTGTGGTCATGTAAGACTGCCGTAGAAGTTGAGGAGGTGGTCTGGTGTCATTCAGACATTTGGACCTAGGACTCTCATAACCCTATCCAGTAGGAACAAAAATAAGGAATCTTGGGCATTGCAGTTCATCTACAGCATGCAGGGTTGCACATATAGGCAGCATTGTGTAGTGTGATTGAATGCAGATCCCTCTGTTCCGAGAACAAATGCAGATTCTTGTTCGCAAGTGTGCTAATTTCTTGTTTGCCTTGCACAGTAACAAGCTAGAAGTGGAATATGGCGATTCGATTCCTGCGCAAGGCAGCAGCCATGCTGGAGAGACACAGGACTGGCTGCCTTATAGTTTCCTGCGCTGGACTCTTTGGAGCGAACCTGGCTTTTCACATCTTCCCTGAGCAGACGTGCAGAACACTGTATCAAGCCTGGGCAAAAGGGAAGCCAGTGGAGCCTTCAGAACGACTGCTGCGCCTGTTCAGTGAAGTCCTCAGTGATGTCACCGTGGAAACGGATAAGGGTTACCAAGCCTTCGTGACTTTCAGCTTCCACCCAGTGAGTGCTGGCCTTCCATGGCTGCCTGCGGGCTGCGTTGTGGGCATCCCTGCCAACTTCGGCAGCTCAGCCAAGGATGAGTCTGAGATCAGTGCCCATGTCATTGTGATCAAAGGCAAAGAAGTGGACTGGGAGAGCCCAGAAGGCTTGGCCTTGAAGGAAGCCTTGACGCTCTCCCCAGCAGCTCAGAAGTTTGCCATTGCTAGAGAGATTGTCTACGTGAAAAACCATAGCCCTTTAATATGTGCAGCCATTGCACCTGTATTCCTAGCTGGGACTTATGGCTCTGCGGTGGCCATGAAGGGACTTTTGGGCCTGTATTCTGGCCCAGTGCAATTACGAGGCCTTTGCAACATTGTAGTCCTGGCACTTGGATATGTGGGCTATTGCTTGTCCTACGACACTGTGAGCCAGGCAGCAGATTATAGGGCAGACAGAAACACAGCCACCATTTCCACTGACTTTGCCAGAGGCGGGGTGGAGTTCTATAATAAAATCTTGTCCCAGAACCAGACTTTTCGTACACTAATGGGCAAGCAAGGGAAGAAAATATATGCCCCTAATGGTAACCTTTTCCCAAGACACTGGATCAGATTCAAACATGCATCATACACTTCCAGAAGGGACTTGATTATCAATATTTTAAACATGCCCCAGGCATAGGGAAAGCATGATTTTTAAACATGTAAATTATGTATTCTCCTTGGAACTTTGTGGCCTGGTTTCCCCTTTTTTCTTATACTTTCATTAGTCTTTCCATTTTGGAGAAGAAAAGACTTGATTTGATTCTATTTTGTTGAATTCCTGTATTCACTGAATGTTTTTGTCGTAAAAAATTAAAGTCTCACTTCGAAGGTTTGATGTCCTACGTGCCTTTAAAATCCACCTGAAAACTCTGAGGAAGGGTTACTTGCCAGGCACTGAACTGGAACGCACTGAATTGGAAGAGCTGCTGTTCTCTGTCCTTTGCACGAAATCCACAGGGCAGGGCAGACTGTTGCAATCTTGTGAAGCTGTAAATTCTGCAGAGCGGCCACCTGCCTTGGTGTCCTGACCATGTCAGACAAAAATGAATTCAACAAACAGAACTAACACACATTAAACAGTGTTCTGTAAACTCGGAAGGATTTCCCAAGTTTAGGGTGAAATGGAACCCCAGGATCGCTTCCTTGGCAAGTCGCCACTTGCTAAGATCTCATCTGCTTTTACTTGAACTTGGGAATTTTTTTTGCCCCAACATGCTTTACTTTATGCTTAGTTAAATTTAGCTATATTTGCCATTGTGCTGCCCATCCCACAGGGCCAGATCATCCCAGACTAAAAGCTTTTCTTAAGCTTAGTTTCCATGCAGGGAGATATTGGGGATAAGAGATGGAAAAAGGAAAAATAACCTTTCCCTTCCCAGCTGCTATTCCCCTTGAAAAATGCCTCTGCCTAGCAGTTCAGGGAAGATACAGTGACTATTGATGCAAATTGATTGACACAAATCTAGGTCATAGATCCAGGACCCTAAGAGATCGAAAGCCAAGAGGACCTAGGCTGGTGTGAAGTCCTGTGGTGTCTTGCACAGTAGTATGGCATAGCCTGCTTCTAGGCCCCTGTCTTATGTCAGATTGCTGCTTATGTGTTGCAGTTGTCTCCCAACTGCGTGAAGGTGGGAGGCTCAGTAGCTGCCATGTGAAATCCACTCCTGTGGATGCAGCTACCATAGATTTTGTGGGCACTCTGCAAAGTTCCAGCTATCGTGCAGTTCAGCTGTACATAATGGGTATAATCAAAGTACTGGATGCAGAAATTATACAATTTTTCCTGTAATTTTCTGAGTGAGGAGATAAGTTTGAGTCAAGGTTTTTTGGTGGTGCTGTTGTGGTACTGATGACAAAGGATCTGTGCTGGCAACATAGTTGTTTTAATAAAGATCTAAAAGGCTTTAGTTATAATCAGACAAAGGTTGCATGGGATTATTTGCTTGTGGTTCTGTCAGAAATACATTCCCACCCCCCTGAGATGCAACAAAAAGAAGTTACAATTATTTAAAAGGTAGGGAACTAAAGGAAACTACAGCTTTACTGCCCCCTGAATATTAACATTCCATTTGTTCATGACAACAGAGCCTGAGAGATTCCTAAACCCTATTGCAGTACATGTGGATGGGCTTCAGCAGGATCTCTGACTTTTTACAGTCCCCATCACATAAAGTGCTCCAGTGAATATGACCCTTGCTGTTCAGCTGTGCATCATAGCAGGAGTCATACCACCACCCCCCTCCATGGACACTTGCGCAGTTTTCTAAGGTCGATCGGTCGTTGTCCTTATCTTTACAAGAGAACTGCATGTTGTCGTGCATGTTTTTGGTCAGGGAAGAACTGAGAGCATCTCCGGCATTACCTTCGTAGGACCCCAACATCAGCCTGTAATTACCTTTTTCATTTCGCAAGGCAAAGCTATCATATTCAGCATACTTATGGTTGCCAGAAGCATCGACTAGGTTTATTCTGACTTTGTACCATTTCTGCTCGGTAATTAAACTGATATACTCATTGCCTAGCCAATGCTCTCCCTCCAAGTTACCGAACCCATATTTGTAGGTCGTCCAGGTCTCTGACCATGTTATTTCAGTGTCTTGGATGTTACGCTGGATCACTGTCCACCCGTTGCATCCATCCATGTAACACTGGACCACAAGTTTGCGGGTGTTTTCCGGCTGTATGATGTAAAGGCCACTCTTCGTGTGGCCAGTCTGGAACATTTCATCACAGTCTCGCATGTAGCGGATGGCTAAGGAGCAAGAGAGGTTTTGATATTCAGATGTATATGGCAAGATTTGTAAGGTAAACATTATAGGTGTATATAGGGCCTTTGTGCTTGCAGGACACACAGCTTGTGCAACAATAACAAAACAAGTGAGAAGGATCGATTCCAGAACAGGCAGTTCAGTGAAACTTTCAGTACAGAACCATTTCCGCTCATTTCCAGGGTTATTTTTAGAAGTCCAAAAGCACCGATGCAGAAGTGCAACAGAACCAACGTTGGATCCTGCTCAGAGGGTGCATTTGTCAACCACATCCAAATCTGATGGCAAGGTAGAAGTTTTTCCAACTAGTTTTTCAGTCACCTGTACAGTGATGATTATTAACTTGCAACAGAGAGAAGCATGCTAAAGCACTATTAAAGTTATAATAACACCTCATCTGAAAAATAATTTACAGTTTTTGAACTTGTTTGTCATCATAAAAACCCTCAAAGGTCATTCAGCACTGGTCTAGCATGACAAAAGAAATGAACTGAGGCTGAGGGTGTTCATGGGTGTCCATTGTGCTCATGAACACACAGGAATTTAAATGCATGGTTTCCAGACTGAAATCCAAAGTTTTCCAGTCAAAGAACAGCCTCACCTGTGGTGCTTCCTGACTGGCTGCTCCAAAAGAACTGAGAAGGGTTTTTCTTTCTATTCAGTATTTTTGGCCTATTTGATTTGAATATAGCTGGATTCATAGCTGTCCTAGCAAAGAAAATGCTGGAAAGTTACACCAGAACAAGGAACTGCTCCTGACCTTTCTTGTTATGTGCATTTCAGGCTGAACTCTAGCTCACTTGCTGTTTCTCTTTTTTCTTATCTCACTTTGTGGGTTCCCAGCCTTTGTCTAACACATCCCAAAGGGCAATACAAGCAGACATACATGAAAAATCATGTTACGGTACAGGGATAGATTTATTCTCCAAGAATCTAGTATAGCTTCCGGTTTTTTGACCTGTAACATGTAGCTACAACACTTTTGTCTGACCAAAGGCAGACTAAAGAAGTTCTGCTTGAATAGGTTCATTATTCCCTCAGAATTAAGCCCAATTTTTCAGAACGGCTTTACAAAGCATAGTTTTTGTTGGCTGTCATTCAGAACTTATTTACAAAGCATACTTCAAGCAACAGAGTTGCTACCACCTTTTCTCCACATGAAATGCAGAAGAATTGCAAATGAAGGCCTATGGTTCTAGCAAGATGTGTGTTAACAGCTGGAAGACAGAAGTGGGTTAATAAGCAAAAGCATGGTAAATAAGGCAAGCTGAAATAAATGCATTTCTCACCCCAACAGTCCCTTATGAAGAAAAGACTGAATTTGACTGTTGCATTCAACAATTTGGGCTAGTCTGAAAAAATGCAAAAAAATATTAAAATCATTTGAGCAGTGCTTAGGCTGCAGTTTGGGTGACAGGTGCCAAATGAATTTGGAAAATCAGAAGTGTGAAATGAGGAAGAGGATGTGAGATAAAGGACCTGAGAAATAATGGCTCAGAGGAAGAGTGTGAAGAATGACCATGAGGGGGAGATGAAAAAATAGAAGGAAGCCAGACCACTTTCTGGTGGTGCGGGGAGGAACTGCAGATCAGGAAATGAGTTTGGTAGCAGAAGGATTTGACATGAGGTGGTGAGAAAACTCAGCTGGTGTGGAACTGCGTTGCCAAAATGTCCGGCAAGCTCTGCCCCAAACTGTTTCTGCTTTGCAGATACCACTTTACTTAGAGCTATGAAAACCGCAGTTGCTCATTGCTTACTATGGAAACACAGCCAGTCAAGCCAAACACATGTGGGATTTGCTGGTTGTCACATAAGAAGCACTGATTAAAGGATACGATAGATAGAAGGCTTTAGTGGTGTCAGCTACAGCAGATTTCCAGGAGAAAATCGGAGTGGGTACTGCCAACGTATGTTGGGAATAGTGATCCCGTTCTTTGCCTCCTTCACATCACTCCTGCTCAGCTCTGTAAATTCCCTCTTTTCTCTTCTGACTTGTTCAGCTAGATCACTGTCTCTCACTAAGACAAGGCTTTTAAACTTCCCTTCCTCAGGTAGCTTTGCCTCCTTCTAATTCTTTGCACTTGAAACACACACTGTGTGTTATGTAAAGCTTTCAGAACATCTCTTCGGCAAGATTGCTGGACTTCCATCCCACCACAAGGGCAAAGGAAGCTCTGGCTGCTCTTTAACCATATGGGGCCCTGTTCTTTTTCCAAAGATGGATTTGCTAAGCAAATCCTTCCCAATTCATTCAGTTTTTCACTTTAACAGGTACTCTTTTTCAGAAATGAATTCCTCACTTTGCATTTAGCATTTCTAAGAAAACTTGTAGCTTAGGTGTATTAATTATACTTATTTAAAATTATGTTTAAATCACCTTTAATGATAGATGTATCTCGCATTATCTCTGCCCCCCTTTATTTATGTGTTTTACAAAGTCTTTAAACCCTACAACCATATGGCTCAATATGCAGAATTTATTATCATCTTAACTGTTTTCACAATTTCTTTGAATGAGCATATTACAAAGCACTTTAATCATTTTACACAATTCACACAATTTTTGAAGTTCTGTTTAAGAAGAAATTTGGAATTGTGGCCATACTGTAGAATTAATAGTTACAGAGCAATAGTTATGTAGGAGTTAAGGACCATGGAAAAGAGGCTGCAGGGGACAAATTTTGTAACCCCTCAGTTCTCTTTCTGTCTTTGCATTTCTCCACAGCTATAGCTGAAGATGAAAGTTGTGCAAGGGGGGCAGTTAAATAAAAACACTATCTTTGAAACACTTCTTATTCTGTTTGTTAAACTAGGAACACATGTACATTTTTAAAACAATAGGGAGACAATATTTCTTTATAAAGTTTTTAAAAACATAATTTTTGATTGTCACTGGAGTCATTCCTCTGTGACCATGTTACAAAAACATATAATTCCGTATGGATATCAACAGATTACATTTAGATTTATGGGATGGTTCAATATAGTGGAGCTGGTACAATTGGGGTATACAGTTTAAAGTGTGTTTCCTAATAATGAAATTATGTCTTAACTTTTAGGCATTCATTAGATACCAAGACATTTCTGCAAGTTGGTATCATAAAATGAAAACCAATTTTTCAAGAGATCATTTTTACAGGGATTATATTTTCAAGCAAATTTTTCTTCTTCTTCAAACAATATTTGGAAGGTAAGAATGAAAGGAAAAAAAGCAAGGTGAAATTTAGACAATACTTTCTGGAAACAGTTTTTCGAAAACTCCCTTAGAAGGGAGTAGAGAAAATGTCTGTGAGAACAGTAATTGAAAAGAAATGAGATTGGATTTGAAAGTCATCCTCCTGCTTAATAAACAGAGATTGAAATTCACTAATTGTGAAAGCAGGGAGAAATTTCTCTGACAGGGCTTTTACTGGGAAGCTTTATTGCTCATATTAGCAAGCAGTGCCATGACTTTGCATCTCTATTATACTGAAGGGAAAGATTGTTCTTACCTGTTCTTTCCCATGACATTTTTTCCAATTCCAAATACAGGAGTTCTTGGCCAACATATATCCAAATATACATCTATTCCTTAAAGCTTAACAAAAGCACACATGCCTAATAATAATATGACTTCATCCATCTTCATCTTAAAACTAAATTACCTTTTCTTTCCACAACTTGCCTCCAGTTTCGAATTGCAAAGGTATTATTGACCAAGTGTAAGTTGGTAACTTCGCTGAGTTGTTTCCTCAATGAAGCTTCATCCTTCAATGAACTTGTCACAGGGATCAGGAAGAGCAGAATAGCAGCAAACAGGACACTGGGGTGATACATTGTGCAAAGAGAGATCTGAAAGAGGCCACATGCACACAGAATTAGTATCTTCAAATATTTCCAGCAGCTGAAAGGTAACTGGCTGCTTAAACAACTTACGGCACTTTGGGGATTCAGATGGAGAGAGTGGCTTAGCAGATTCTTGATATATGTTTTATACAATGAACTTAAGATCCTGGATGACTAAGCTTGTTATTGGTTAACTTCAGCATACAATATTTGCCATTGCTGGAGACAACCACTGCAACAGCTGCTAGATGCATCAGGGTTGTTGACTTTCCTGCCATAATACTATTCGTGACCTGCAGATTATTTGATCATCCTTTGGAAAGTCAATACATTGGGAAGATATCCCATTCCCCAGAGGCTGCATCTTTAAGAGGAGAAACACTATAAAAAAGGGAATTAAGCAATAGCATATTTGTTCTTTGTCACACTTGCAAGTAAGGGAAGATGGAAAATTCCTTTCCACAGAAGGCTCAGGCTGCACTTCTAAGGGCAAAATCCTATGCGTGTTTAGAGAGGTAGAAAGTCCTAGTATTCCCAGCATGCTCCTGCCAGCATGAATGCATCGGACTGCAACATATGAGAATCTTCTAACGTATCATTCTACTCTCTTTCCAGTGTGACCATTGGAAAGGATTCAGATGGTTTATACTAGTCAGCCTCCTGCTGTCTGGCAGGACATCTTACACAAGTGAGAAAGACCTTGGTATTTCTGTCTGTCTCAGTTTTGGTAGATATAATACAACCAGCCTTTAGGAGCTGTGGAATGCCCTTGACGGTTTCTGCTAGTTCATTGAAACTCTTTTGGATGCCTTCAGGATTCTTCCGATGTTTCTCCTGGGGAGGAACTTCCACTTTTTTTCCAATTTAATTTCAGGAGGAAAATAGCTCAGAACTTGTGCGGAACAGACATGCTCAACAACAACCACCTATCTTACCATTGAAATATTGCTTAATATCATATTTCATTAAGTATTTCAATGATATTAAGTGATTTAGCTTTTGTTTGTATTGCAAAAACTTGTTACTGTCTTTAACACAGTAACCCAGGGGTCCCTGGGGAACACAGAATTTCTTGAATTTCCCTTCCTGAAGCTGTATAAAATGCAGACCCTGGGAAGAGGACTACACAATCCAAACCCCCCTCCCCTTTCAGAGCTGCCATGGAAAAAACCATGGCACCTGCTTTTCAAGGTTGCAAACCAGCCCTAAAGTACCTTTGTCTAATGGCAAAGGAGAGGAGAGGAAAACTCCTATAGCCTCTCCAGCCCTGACCCCACTATTGTACTTCTGCTAAACAGGTTCAAAGGTCCATCTGGGGATGGTGGGAGCTAAAAAGCAGGATGGAAAGGTGAAAATTTCCTCCATTAATCCTCCAGTAGGATCTTCAGAAACCCCCCAAATCAGAAGCTTCTGTCTTGAAAATGTTAACCCAATCAGATTTGTGTCCTAAAATATGTTTGGCCTTTTTCAAAATCCTTCAGATCTTTTGCTTGAATAGAACCATCCTACCATTCTTGCCATCTGCTCTGCATTGCCTCTGTCTTAATGAGGGCATAGTTCTGATTTCCATGAGAAGAGTGGCTGTTTGGGAAGAGGGGGTAGCAGCATTCCCCATGCCATTACTCTGTATAAATCCATCCCACCACCACTGCTTCTGGCCATGCGAGAATAGCAGATAGCACACAATGACTCCAAAGCATGGGAGAGACCCTGGAGGACGCCGACATCACGGAAGGGCCCTGCAAATGTGCTTGTCTGAAGGATCACAAGTGCACAATAAATGCCTTGAGCACCGATGCCCTCAGATATACCCCATGGGACTGCACATTCATGCACACCTTTGAACAGTAGACATTCCTGCTATATCACAAGCTGCTTTTGAAAACAGTCCGAGAAAGAAAAGGCCCCTTATTACACAGGATTAATTGTGCAGTTGTTTGTCTCTTGGTATGTGAATGGTGTTGGTATAAGGGTTAGTCACTAGATGGCACTGGATTGACCATATCTAGGTTGAATTTCATGTTGCTGTTCTCTTCTTGTTTGAGAAAGGCAGTGAAGTTCCTGCCTGGTTTCTTGACGGAGGTGTCCTCTAAGCCTCCCATGACACTCAGATTCATCTTTTCATCTTTCTGTGGGGTGTCTTCTCTCTGCTAGTGGTGGCATCTCTGCATCTCTGTGAAGCTTTTGTGGAGATGCTTTTCATTAAAAGCAATGGCAAAACGAGCTAATCAAAGCGTCACTTTCCTTTTTGATTGTTCAGGTCTGTGCAATGGATTTAGTGGCTCCGTTTTCTATTTCTACCTCAAGAAGCAATCAAGATGTACATTACAAGCTTCATGCTCTTTTAGCTCTCTGTAGGCTTTCTGCAGGATGAGCACTGATTTAAGGAAAAGAAAAAAAAACAGGTCAAGAAGCATCAAATGCAAGTGAACCATTTATTTCATACAATCAATGTGTGAAAGTGTAATGTATCCACTGCTTTTTTAATATAAGTAAAAAAAGGCCTGAGATTTCCCCCCGGAAATGTATGTAGAATAAGTAGAATATTAATTCCATGATGTTTACATAGCAGAGTGTTGAATGCCTTGAATTTAGACTATGACTCTACCTTCGTTTTCCATCTCCTGCTGCTCAGTGCATTGTTAGGGCTGAGCTTTAGGCATATGTACAATCGCTAATTTAATATGGGTACTTTTAGGGATTTTATTTATTGATTATATCTATATCCTGTCCTTTTTCCTTCCACGGAACTCAGGGTGGCTTACATCATTCTCCTCCTTCTGCTTGCAATCTTATCCCCATGCCAACAACCCTGTGAGGTAGGTTGGGCTGAAAGTCTGTGCCAGGCCCAAAGTCATGCAGTGAGCTCCATAGCTGAGTGGGGATGAGAACCCACACCTCTTGAGCCCCAGGCCCAGGCTCTTAACCACTACACCACAGTGGTTCTCACACCAGTGCTGGCCATGAGGTAAAAGAAATAGTTCGGGAATATCCAGTTTCTTGTCCTCATGTTGTTGTAAATGTGCCATCTGATGAAAGTACTGGAAGTTCCTTAGGGCTGAATGCAGACTTGTCCTGCCATGCACAGAAGTATTTCCTTCATTCTCAGAAGGGACTCTAGGAGCTTTTCTACATGAGGCTGTTAAGCATCTGCTAATCCTTTGTTTCTCTTTTCAGCTTTACTGCAAATCTGAAATCCATGTCATATGTGAGGAGAGTTTCCTTCCTGCTTTTCCACTGCTTAACCTCTAGTTCACACAGTGGCATAGCAGAATAGTGCCAATACACAGGTGAAAATGCATTTTCTTTCACTTTTTACCAGATTTTCCCTACAAGAAAGAAAGAAAGAAAACTCACCAAAGGTGTTTTTTAGACCCAGAAGTGCAAATAGAGGGTCACACTACTGTCTAAAAGCATGTAAACTTCCCCAAGAAAGGAATGACACTAAAGGTTCCTGCTGGGAAAGAGGTGGAGATGATTTTCACAGATTTCTTCATCCGCCGTTCAGTCCCCAGCCCAACCTGTCAGTCACCCAGAGTCCCAGTCTTTGGGAATAGACAAGATATAAAGGGAGGGAGGGAGAAACCTGCTACCCAGGGCAGATTTTTAAGAGACATAAAGAAAGGAAGATTCAAGGGAAATAACACGCTTCTTCCAATGGGGCTATCTAGTTGGTGGAGTTCTGCATTTGTCAAGTTTGGCTGGAACCCACGAAAGGAAAGCAAAAAGGTGAGGGAAGAGAAAACTATGTGCATTCCAGTGATTAGAAGTGCCGAAATGTAGGGAGACAATTATTAGAGGCCCTTCTGCAGCACACACCTGGGAGGATTATGAAGAGATGAGCATCAGTGGTGCATGTGATAAGTCAAATGTACAACCTGAGCTCGACATGTACCCCCAAGAGAAACACTGGTCCTCAGACAAGAGAGTTTCCTGTCAACTTGCATTCCATGTTTGCTTACATATAATGCTCACTGACTTTTCAGATCCATATTTTTCTTATTACTGTGAGCATTTCTCTTGCCTCCAGAGATGAAACATGCCCCAGATAATGGAAGGGAGAAAAAACTTTCCAAGCAGTTATGTAAAAAGCTGCCCATTTGGTTGTGTGTTGTTATGAGCAAAAGATTCTCCCTTGTCTCAATGTGGCCCTTTCATGGTTACAGTGCTCATAATAATTCTCCCTTCATTTTGATCTGAACACTGAAAATGAAGCAGAAACTGTCAGGTGTGGCATGACAGGTCTGCTCTTGTAGCAGGAGTCTGCTTCATGAAGCACAGGCTGACCAGGGGAAGCTCACAATTCAGCCCAAAGAACATAAAAACAAGTCCCCTGCTGGACCAGGCAAAAGGTCCCTCAAGTGGCCAGCCAGACTTCAGGAAGCCTCCAAGCAGGGAATAAAGAGAAATTACACTCCCTTATTGTTGGTTCTCCCACAGTGGCATCTAGACAGAGGCACTTAGAGATGCCATGGTCCATGGCTGTGTAGCTTGATAATTGTTCTTGTTGTTTGTCTCCTTTTAATATCATTTTCCATTGTACTCAGTCATTTGGTAGCTATACCTGGAGAGTCCTTGTACAGAGCATGCCTGCGGAGACTTTGTGTGTCCTGAATACTCGGTTGCCTGATCTGGCCTGATGCAATTTCCTGCTTCCAACACTGGCTGCTTCCAGACAGGGAGCTCCTAGTGCCAACCATGAGAAGAGGCATTTAGCACCTACAGGCTTGTCTTGTCTTTCATCACAGATTTTCTATGATAACCAAGTGATGGAAGATGCAACAGAAAATTGCAGGAGGATTCCAAGGAGAAGATTTCATCGTCTTCACATTTACACACATCTTGTGAATTGTTGGGATAAATGTGTTGTCTGGAAACACCGCAAACTGGCACCTCTCTCTCTTTCTCCAGCATTTCTTTTCATTGATTTGGCCTCTCCACTATCCAGTTTCTCTTCTGTCGTTCACACTAGAGTGGCTACTCCTTCACCAAAACAGCTGTCACAGAACACGATTCTTTTTCTTGGCCCCTCAAGGTATTTGTCCTCAGTGAAACTGATTGCCCTTACCTTGTTGTAACTAAGCCAAAGTATGTGTGATCGGAATAATAATATAATCTAATAATCATAAAAGCTTGACCTAATTAAATAAATAAAACCCTTCCCTGCCTGCTCATGGCTCCACTTCCAAAATTTGGCTGTATATGTTGCTTCTTGTGTCTGATTGAGAGCATAAGCCCAGTGGGACAGAGACTTGCCATACCTGTTCTTTGTGAAGTGCCACATTCATAGATGGTTCTGTGTGTGTATGCGTGTGAATGCACATGTGTGTGCCTTTGTGTGTGTGTTAGCTGTTTTAAGTTCTACTTTTACGAAAGGCGGAAAATATATCTGTCCAATTTCTCCACACCATGCATGATGAGATATGATGTCATCCGTTATCTAATTCTTCTTTAAACTAAAAGCCAGAACTGCTTTTGGTCATAACAAAGGTATTCCAACCTTGTAATCATGTTGGTTTCCCTTTTTGTATCTTTTTCAGCTCTACAAATTCATTAAGATGGGATGTTGAGGAAAGTACACAATATTTAAAATATTGTGTTGAAGTATTTTAAAATATTGTATTGAAGTATTTTATTCTTCGGCCAGGGCGACTTATTTTATATTGTTAACTTGTTTTATATTTTTACCGTACAATATTTTAATTGATATATTTGTGAGCCACCCCGAGGCTTCGGCGAATGGGGCGGCATAGAAATTTTCTAAATAAATAAATAAATAAATAAATATTGCCATATTATAAATTCTTCTAAAGGGATTTGTCTAAGGACTCTTTGATTTTCAATTCTTTTCCTCATGACTCTTAAGAATATTCCCCCCATACCCCTTCAATAATTAGTATATGTTTATTCTTGTCTTAATTATTTGTACCAAAAATACAGAGGCAGATGCTGGGCCTGTAATTTCCTGGCCCGTCAATCAATTTTTTAAAATTTGGAGATACATAATTTGCCTCTCAACAGCAAAAGGCTCATGGGGAAATGGTGGCAGTTACTGCTAGCCCAAAAGGGGTGAAGGAAAAAGTATAATTGAAAATTTGGAAATAAAATAAGGAAAGGGAGATTGCATCCAACCATAAGGCCAAACTAGAGGTGGCATTTCCCCCATTGTTTTGCTTTGCACAGTGGTAGATTTTTAATTCAGTTCGGCAGGGGAGCCGAACCATGGAACAGAGTGAAAAGGACTTTAATCCTTTCCTTAATTACACTCTTAATCCAAATTGGACCCTCTTACACCTATTTGCAGTGGAGGCTTTTCTTCCACTTCAGATAGTAGGGCTGAAGGGACTATTTCTGAGTGGGCCCATGACAGGGGCAAGGTAAAAGCAGTTCTGGAGTGACTCTCACTCTCGCCAATGCAATGCAATGCAATACAGAACAACAGATCATAGAATATTTACCCTGTTCATGGGATTAGTACAATAATGAAAATTTGCCTTTATCAGATTCTGGTCTTGTTCCCACTGACCAGTACAGTCTGGTCAGTGGTGACTGTGTGTCTGGCCTACAGTGGTCAGGTTCAACATAGCATTGACATGGCAATTCTTTGAGATTCCATGCTTTCATTCTTCTAGGGGAGAGAAATGTGGGAGTTAATTTTTAAAATGAGGAATTTCTTTTAATATAATTTAAAAATACAATTTCCAATGCCTAATTGCAGGGGTGGGGGAAAAGATTACAAGCCAGGTGTGGTTTCTTTTTAGGACTGTGAATGTGTTTCATTTGTTCACTCTGCAAATGTATTACGTCAGACTGAATCTGGGTTATAGAACTAAATAAACCCAAAGAGGCAATAAAAATTCCCACCTTCAGAATGCAATATCTTGAATAATAAACATGTGTAGTTGTGGTTGTTTAGTTCTATATATGTTTTCTTATACTCCCATCATAAATCCTGTAGAAGGAAATAATTCTGCTATTAACATTCCCTTGAGCCTCAAGAGAGCTCTGGCGCAAGGGAGATGGCCTGCTTGCATGTCACAGTAACCCAGGGGACACTGTCCCTAACCCCAACCTCCTGCCCACCACAGTCACCAACTGTACTGCATTCATCATGGGG